GACACAGTAAGTAACTGAGCACAGTAGGTTCACATCCTGGCAAGCATGAAACCAAAACAAGCATGATCAAGAAATGAAAGTGTATTAGTACAGGAGTTTATCCCTCACTCAGAAGCCAATAAATACAGTTTACTAATATCATCTTCATGTTTAACATAGATCTCTTGTTAGTTTCTCAAAGTAAAATATTTTTCTTTCTTTCATTTTTTTATTTATTACAATTTATTCACTTTATATCCCAGCTGTAGCCCCTGCCAATCTCACCCTCCCTCCCTCTTCTCCTCCCATATCCCTACCCAAGTCCACTGATAGGGGAGGTTCTCTTCCCCCTTTCTTTCTGACCCTAGCCTATCAGGTCTCATCAGGACTGGCTACATTGTCTTCCTCTGTGGCCTGGCAAGGCTGTATCCCCCCCCCCAAGGGGGAGGTGATCAAAGAACCAGCCACTGAGTTCATGCCAGAGACAGCCTCTGTTTCCTTTACTATGGTACCCAGTTGGAGGTTGAGCTGCCAAGGGCTACATCTGAGCAAGGGGTCTAGGTTATCTCCATGCATGGGTCTTTGGTTGGAGTATCAGTCTTTGCAAAGACCCCTGGGCCTAGGGGTCTGTTGGTTCTATTGGTCTCCTTGTGGAGCTTCTGTCCCCTCTAGGTTCAAAGTGAAATCTTGCCATCATCAATAGTCCTTCCCTTAATTCCCCTTGTTAAGTCAATCAGATAATGTGCATGGTTTGTTCTATGCCCAATTTGCATTTTAACTTCTCACCTTGAGTTTGGTAAAATTCTAACCCCTGGCTCTTATATACCACCCTCAAACAGCTGCCTTACCTTCCTTCTACCCCAATCCATGCCAGAGTAGCTTCTTTCTCTTTTACTGCAGGGCCTGTAATCTCCATTCCCTAAATAATGTCACTAGAGAACTCCTGAGATGTTACTTGCTTCCATTCGAATGCTGTATTTCACCTTTAGTTCCTTTTATGATGCTTCCTACCACCCACCACCTCTTGTTCAGTCTTTGCATTAGCACCTCCCAGTTTTTATGTTCTTTGTCACTTTGCCAGTGCAATTAAAGAATCTTGTCAAAGTACTCTGTTCTGATAGCTGTACTCCAGGACTCAATCTCTGATCATACCATAATACCTTCGGATCCCCCTCAAAAATGTTTCTTTTCCACATTAAATCGGCTAGAAAAAAAAGTAGGGAATACACTAGAACTCATTGGTACAGGAGAAAACTTCCTGAACAGAACACCAACAGCACAGGCTCTAAGAGCAACAATCAATAAATGGGACCTCATGAAACTGAAAAGCTTCTGTAAAGCAAAGGACACCGTCATCAAAACAAAGTGACTGCCCTACAGTTTGGGAAAGAATCTTCACCAACCCTTTATCTGACAGAGGACTCATATCCAGTATATATAAAGAACTAAACAAGCTGAAAAGCAGCAAACCAAGTAATCCACTTAAAAAATGGGGAACAGAGCTAAACAGAGAACTCTCTGTAGAGGAATATCGAATGGCAGAGAAGCACTTCAAGAAATGCTCAACCTCATTAGCCATTAGGGAAATGCAAATCAAAACAACCCTGAGATTTCACCTTACACCCATCAGAATGGCCAAGATAAAAACCTCAAGGGACAACACATGCTGGAGAGGTTGTGGAGAAAGGGGAACCCTCCTCTACTGCTGGTGGGAATGTAAACTGGTACAACCATTCTGGAAAGCAATCTGGCGCTTTCTCAGACAACTAGGAATAGCGCTTCCTCAAGATCCAGCCATACCACTCCTAGGCATATACCCAAAAGAGGCTCAAGTACACAAAAAGGACATTTGCTCAACCATGTTTGTAGCAGCTTTATTTGTAATAGCCAGAAGCTGGAAACAGCCCAGATGCCCCTCAACTGAAGAATGGATGCAGAAACTGTGGTACATCTATACAATGGAGTATTACTCAGCAATGAAAAATAAGGAAATCATGAAATTTGCAGGTAAATGGTGGGACCTGGAAAGGATCATCCTGAGTGAGTTGTCCCAGAAGCAAAAAGACACACATGGTATATACTCACTCATATCAACATACAACATAGAATAAACCCACTAAAATCTGTACATCTAAACAAACTAAGCAAAAGAGAGGACCCTAACTAAAAATGCTCAATCCCCATCCTGAAAGGCAAAGAGGATGGACATCAGGAGAAAAAGAAAACAGGAAACAACCTAGGAACCTGCTACAGAGGGCCTCTGAAAGCCAGAAGAAGAAAACTGGAAACAACCTCGGAACCTGCCACAGAGGGCCTCTGAAAGCCTCTGCTGTGCAGACTGTCAAAGCAGATGCCGAGCCTGATGGCCAACTGACGGGCAGAGTGAATGGAATTTTATGTAAGAAGTGAGAAATAGTAAGAGCTGGAGAGGACAGGAACTCCACAAGGAGAGCAACAGAACAAGAAAATTTGAACACAGGGAACTTCCCAGAGACTCATACTCCAACCAAGGACTATCTGTAGAGATAACCTAGAACCCTGACAATGCAGCCACTTCTGATGAGAACTGATAGACTAAGATCAGAAAGAAGGAGAGGAGGACCTCCCCTATCCGTGGACTTGCGGAGGGGCATGCATGCAGAAAGGGGGGAGGGTGGGACCAGGAGGGGAGGAGAGAGGGGCTTATGGGGGGGGTACAAAATGAATAAAATGTAATTAATAAAAGTTAAAAAAAAATTTTAAGAAAACCCCAATGTTGATCTAACTTTTATAAACTTTCATTGGATCTCAGTAATCGATCCATGGAATGCCATGCACTTAACCGAAAAGGATTAGTCCACACACAACCTGCATTCTCTTATTCTGCACGTTAGAGTGGTGTCTAGGCTTAGAAATGCACCACGTTACAAGAGTAAATAAATGAAGTGAAACTAGAAAAAAAAATGTTTCTTTTCCAAATGTCTTAGAATTTAGTGACCATTGTCCCTATTTAACTCTCTCAGCCCTTTTCCTTTTTACATATTTACCAAAGTCTCTAGCTAAAGACTTGCCAGATTGCTTTTGTTATTGTTCTCCATATCTCGACCCTCAGAGTGTACCTGTGAGCAATAGCAGAACTGGACTTCTGAACATTTAGTATGAAGGAATGTGGTAAGTCAGACAACTAGTCTTCACACTGGACAAGTTGAGATTTCACTTCAGCACTTCACCCTTCCTCTCCTACACCTTTCCAATTTGGCCAGGTGTGGCCCCATGTCATGGTAAATAAACCCTCTCTAATTTGCCTCATCCAGAAATATTTCTCTACATAAATGTGGACCCCCCCACCTTAAGGATGCTGCTGATCCTTGGCTCCAACATCTGGAAAGTGTTCCTACAAGGATGAACACTTCACAGTAGTCTAACACTTTGCCTGCCTCCTTTCAGACCCAGGGTTTCTGACTAAATGTCTTCCTCAGCTCCTCAGCTCTAGGTCCAAGGGGTCAACTCATTCAACACATATAACTTCCTGATAATTGCCCTCCATGTTGTTGATAGTCCTTTACTCTTCCTTGTAACCTGCTTTCTGGATTCCACCTCAGATTCTCATATCACCTTGGACTATTTCTCCTACAACTTCTTACCCCTCCTGCTTCCTAAGGACCTTACAGCTACTCCCTGACCCTAGTGCACATTCTAATCCTTCAATCCTCCCATTCCTCTCATACTGGCCTCTTTTCCTTCCCTACTTTAATACTATGGCTATATCTAGAAGTTCTCTTTACTAACTCCCTCAGCTCCCTATCATTAAGTCTTTGTCTGGAATCCCTATACCAACCAACTGCCTGGGGAGCTTCCAACCTCCTCTGAACATCCCTGGTAGCACTGTAAACTTGTTTAGGCTGCCTGAGGTGTCATCTAAATTCCTTCCAAAATGCCTCATCCATTGACTTACTTCTAGCTTGGCCTGTCTCATTTTTGGCCAAGTTGCCATTATGGACGAATGAAACCAAATCTTGCATTTCTGTTATAATATAATTCCCTTAAAATGCTATTGGATATGTGTGTATGAGAGAGAGACAGACAGAGAGAGAAAAGACAGAGAGAACATGGGCTTGATGATGGGTTGGCAGATACACGCAGAGGATCTTGGAGATTGGGGAGGGGAAAGAATATGATCATAATATAGTATACAAAAAAATTTAAATAAAAATATAATAAATAAAAATGCTCTTGGATAATTTCATTATTTTATCCATAAAACAACATACAGAGTGGAAGCCCAAGATAATATGGAAGCTAGAAAATAAACTGTGGTTAATCTTGCTAGTCATGAGGATGGCAGATAAGGGACAATAAACGCATTTTCAAAAAGCAAAATGTATAAGAACAACATTAAAAGATAGCATTGGGGCCCCAGGATCAATTTTTTTTTTAGATGTCATCATCCTAGAAGCAAACATTTGGGTAGCAACTATGGGCTCAGAGAGAGAAATGAATCCAGTCAAAGGGCTACAGATCTACTCCATGTCAGCCACACTGTCTTATAGCCTCTGTGCAAAAGATGAAGCAGCAGGAGGGCAACTGAATACAGAGCTGCTGAAGCAAGGTGGAGAAGAGAACAATTTGAAATTGACTAAAGAAATCTCCTTTCAGACATAATTAGTGTGCGATAAGACTCATTATATGACATGTTAATTTCCAAGCAAAATAAAAGATTGCATTTCTCTTGTTTCTGTGCCATCTCATCCTTTATGACATAATAAAAACAGCCAGGTAAATATTCTAACTGATATACAGATAATCACATTGGTGAACAAAAAATCTAATTACATTTTTAAAAAACAAATCTTATGAGATGTGTGAAAAAAAATCAATAGATAGAATTCTACAAATCTTTGAGCTTCTAGAAAGCATATGTTATATTACATTTATATTTGTGTTCATAGACATGCAAACAACAAAACTAATATTGTTATCCACCCTAGAACTGCCCTCACTCAACAATAAAAGCACAAGTAGTTAGGAAAACAAGTATTTACCTTATAGAATATCAACAGAAGATCATCCAGTTTGCCATGCAAATCACCTGGAATACAAATGAAAAAAATCAATATTCAGTAGGAACCAAAATGCAATGCTCATTTTGTTATAGAATTTTAAATCTCAAATACCACAAGTATTTTCATGGGATTGGGTTTTCACCTTATGTTGATGATACTAATTCAATATGCAATTTGCTTCTACAGATTCTTCCTCCCCCTCCTATGCTGCACATGAAGTTGGAGGGTTAGCATCTGGAACTGTTTGCTTTAGCCATTTATGTATTGTTTTATTTATTTTGAGTTAAGCTCTCTATACTAAGACTTTTATGTTTATTTTCTTGTTCAATCCTCAGAACCACCCTATGCTATAAGTAGACTGTCATCATTCTTATATTCCAAATGAGACTGAGAGAACTTAAGAAATATATGCAGTCACCCTGCCACCTAAATCTGAGCTAAAATTCAAGCCCAGCATTCTCTCACCTCAAAATGAAACCTCAGAATGATTTCCTCTGTATTGCCTACATTTTAATGCCTGGAAGAGCAACAAAAACACCTATTACAGGAAGTGTTGACTCTCCAGGGACCTACCATACTACCTAGAAAATTGCAGGCGCTCAATACATGCGTTTAATCAGTGGCTAAATACGTAGCCATTCACTGTTGGGTTTGCTTTATTTTACTTTAAAAGTTTAAAATTTATGACTAGATAATTGAGATTCTTTTTGATGAGGCAGTTAAGAAAAAAAACAAAAGGAAACTATTAAATATATGACTCATTATTTAAAAAATAAGAGTGACTGTATAAATACTCAAAAATTCTATAAATATTTTACCTAAAAATATATATATATATATTTATCTTTCATAATCAGTGTTTAAATTTTATATTCTACTTAAATACCATATTGTTTAATTTAAGAACACATTTTCTCAGTTTATTTAAAACTTCCACAAACAAGATAAATCAAATATATGCAACAGAAGACTCCAATTACACTAGAAATTAGAAAGTGAAAATCCTACATCATCAGCACTTTTTATAAAATTATTAAGTATCAAGTAACATCAATATTAATTGATACTTAAATGTCAATACCTTTATATAGTCTCACTCCAGATGTTAAATAAATATTTAATATATTTAGGTAATTATTTCATTTTCCCAATTTTCTTTAGAATGATTTGCATTTTTAAAATATGAGTATATTGGTAATAGAGATGACTCAGTAACTAAAGTGCTTGCTATTTAAGAAACCTGAGGAGGGGTATCCAAGATGATGGCGCTAGGAGGACACTGTGTCTGACGAACAGGACAGCAGTGACTGCACAGTTACCAATACATGGAACTCTGGGCCCTAAAACACCAGCTATTGTGTTTCCCTGGTGAGAGGAAACCCCACAGTGTGGAAAGTAATCGGGTTCTTGTCACCCAGCTAAACCCCAGAAGAGTTCTCAGGTCCCGAAAGACACTCAGTCGACAGTCTAGAGCCACACACCTGCATGCTCTGATCACCATCCCAGACTGAACTGCAGGCCCTACAATACCAGAGACTAAGATTTCCAATTGAGATGAAACCCCATGGTAAAGAAAGCAATCAGGACTGACCACATGTTATCCAGACAATCCCTGGGAAAGGTCCTGGGGTCCAGCGGGCACTCAGCCACCATCCCAGAAATCTGCCTGCACTCCCAACTCACCATCCCAGACAGAACTGTGGGCCCAAGGATAACAGAGACTGGGTTTCTCTGTTGGGGGGAAATCCCACAGTGAGAGAAAAAACAGTTCCGATATCAGGGCACTCAGCTGATACCCCCCCACCCCGCTGCCACAAAAAGTTCTCCAGATAAGTTCCCAGTTCCAGCAGGTGCCCAGTCGCTAGCAGAGCTACTCACCTGTGCCTGCGTGCTATACTCACCATCCCAGACTGAACTGTGGACCCCAAAACACCACAGACTGGGTCTCCCTGTCGGGAGGAAACCCCATGGTGGAGGAAACATCAGGTCCGACCTCAGGACACCCAGCTCCGGAAAAGTTTCTGGGCTCCAGCAGGCTCCAGGCTCTAGCCTCCTGTTCCATGCATGAGTGCTGCTGTGCTCACCTCCCACTGATTACCGCTTTGCTACTGGGGCACAGAACTCCAATCTCAGACTTACAGAGGCCTGGGATCCACATGATCAGCCCCAGACACTGCACCAAGGCACAACCTGTCCCCCTAGCTAAATTGAACAAACTGCAGGCCTCCCTGGTTCTTCAAGAGGGCTGTACCCAGCAAACACAGGGTAAGAACAGGAACAGTAGCACACTAAATTCAGAGCAAGAAACCCAGCAGCAGGGCAGCTGTCTCCAGGACTTCTCCTGATGAAAGGAGAGCCCCCACACCCTGACTCCCAACAACCACAGTTACTACACAGGTCCATAAACCTGAGGTAAGTTGTGGAAATTCCTGAAAAACAATGCCATTCAGTTGATCGTAACCAAAAAGCCGAGGAGGCCATCTTCAGGAACAACCACCTTCCTGCTTAAGGGATTCTCCCCACCCCAGGATTCCAGGAAGTACCAGAAAATATCAGCCAACACCTGAGATAGCTAGATGGGTAGAGGTCAGTGTAAAAGCACAACCGACAAAAGGCAAAGCAATATGGTATCTCCAGAACCCACTTATTCAGGGGCAAGCAGCCCTGGACACTCTATTATAAGTGAAATCTAAGAAGATGACCTGGCATCTACGCTTATGAAGAGGTTAATGGAGGAAACAAATAAAATGCGTAAAGAATTAGAGGAAGATAAAGTCAAACAGATTATGGTCATCTGTAAAAAATTAGAAGAAGATAAAGTCAAACAGATTATGGCCTTTCTATAAAGAAATACAGGAAGATGTAGCCAAACAGTTTGTGGCCTTAAGAGAGGAAATGATTTTTTTAGAGTATTATGATTTTTTTCTCCATTATTATTATTATTATTATTATTATTATTATTATTATTATTATTTACAATTTATTCACTTTGTATCCTAGTTGTAGCCCCCTCCCTCATCTCCTCCTGGTCTCACCTTCTCTCCCTCTTCCCTATCCCTCTCCCCTAGTCCACTGATAAGGGAAGTCTCCTCCTAGCCTATCAGGTCCCATAAGGACTGCCTGGATCCTCTTACTCTGTGGGCTATGTAGGTCACCCCACCAGGGAAAAGTGATCAAGGAGCAGACAACAGAGTTCATATCAGAGACTTTCTCTTCTCCCCTTACTACTAGGTGTCCCACATGAAGATTGAGCTGTCTATGTCTATGGTCTACATCTGACCAGGGGCTCTAGGTCCTCTCTGTGTATGGTCTTTGTTGATGTATCAGTATCTGCAGTCCCACCTGGGCCCTTGAGAAAAAATAATTAAGTCACTGAAAGAAATAAAAGAAACAGAGGAATGTTCAAACAAACAGGTGAAGGAATTGAAGGAAAAACAGGAAAACGCAGTCAGACAGGTAAAGGAAATAAAAAAAAAACATTTCAAGATCTGAAGATAGAATTGGAAAAATTAAAGAAAACACAAATCAGGAAATCATGGAGAGGAAAAACGTAGGGAAGAAAACAGGAAGTACAGAGGTAAGCATAACCAACAGACTATAAGGGATGGAAGAAAGAATCTCAGGTGTGGAAGAACAATGGAAGAAATCGATGTATCCATCAAAGAAAATAATAAATCTAAAAAAATTCCTGACACAAACCGTCCAAGAAATCCAACATAACATGAAAAGACAAAACCTAAGAATAATAGGAATAGACGAAAGAGAAGATTCCCTCCTCCAAGGCCCAGAAAATATTTTCAACAAATCATTGAAGAAAATTTCCCCAACTTAAAGGAGAGACTATAAGCATACAAAAGGCCTACAGAACACCTAATAAATTAGACAAGAAAAGAAAATCCTCCCTCCACATAATAATCAAGAGTAAGAATACAGAACAAAGAAAAATACTAAAAGCTTTGAGGGAAAAAGGCCAAGTAACATATAAGGCAAACAAATCAGAATCACACCTGACTTTTCAACAGAGGCTATAAAAACCAGAAGGGCCTGGACGGATATCATGCAGATCCTAAGAGAACACAGATGTCAGCCCAGGCTACTATACCCAGCAAAACTCTCAGTCCTCATATATGGAGAAAACAAGATATTCGATGACAAAAACAAATTTAAACAATGCCTATCCATAAATCCAGCATTACAGAAGATACTGTAAGGAAAAAATGTACAACCCAGGAAACTAGCTAGAGTCAGGAAAAAAACACAGGAAATAAATAACTTCACTACAGCAAAACTAAAAGTAGCCAAGCACACATGTTTACTACCACAACCAACAGCAAAATCAAAGGATCTAACAGCCACTGGTCATTAATTGCTCTCAACATCAGTGGACTCAACTTTCCAATAAAAAGACACAGACTAACAGAATGGATATGTAAACAAGACCCAACAATCTGTTGCATACAAGAAATACACCTAAGTCACAAAGATAAACATTACCTGAGAGTAAAGGGCTGGAAGACAGTTTTCCAAGCAAATGGACCCAAGAAGCAGGAAGGAATAGCCATTCTAATATCTAATAAAATAGATTTTCAACCAAAATTAATCAAAAGAGATGGGGAAGGTTACTTCCTACTCATCAAAGGGAAATTACACCAAGAAGACATCACAATTCTGAACATCTATGCCCCAAATACAAGGGACCCCACATTTGTAAAAGAAACATTAATAACACTTAAACCACACATTAATAGTGTGAGACTTCAACACCCCATTCTCAACAATGGACAGGTCAACAAAACAAAAATTAAACAAAGAAACAATGACTATAACACAGATTATGAATCAAATGGACCTAACTGGTAGCTACAGAAACTTTCACCCAAACACAAAAGAATTTAACTTCTTCTCAGCACCTCATGGATGATTATACCAACATGGAACCTTCTCCAAAATACACTATTTAGTTGGTCACAAAGCAAGCCTCAACAGATACAAGAAGATTGAAATAATCCCTTGTATCCTATCTGACCACCAGGGACTAAAGGTGGATATCAACAACAACAGAAATAAATAGCAAAATGCCTACACACACATGGAAACTGAACAGCTCACTGCTCAATGACAGCTGGGTCAGAGACAGGAGCTCCACAAGCAGAGCAAAAAGAAAAAAAAATAATCTGGGCAGAGGGGTCCTCTCTGAGACTGATACTCCAACCAAGGACCATTCTGACAGCTCTGTGTCCAAGTAGGTTCTCTAGTAATAGGAACAGGGACTGTCTCTGACATGAACTCAGTGGCTGGCTTCTTTGATCACCTCCCCCTGAGGGGGGTGCAGCCTTACCAGGCCACAGAAGAAAATGCAGGCAGTCCTGATGATACCTGACAGGCTAGGACCAGAGGGAAAGGGAGGAGGACCTCCCCTATCAGTGGACTTGAGGAGGGGAATGGGAGGAGATGAGGAAGGGAGAGTGGGATTGGGAGGGAACTAGGGAGGGGGCTACAGCTCGGATACAAAGTGAATAAACTGTAATTAATAAAACAATAAATAAATGTAAACAAAAAGACCTGACTTCCAGTCCCCATCAATCAAGTAAAAAACACGGTGCAGTGATACCCACGTGTAACTTCAATGCCCAAGGCAGCCGAGACGAGTAGATCCTTGGAGCACACTGGCAGGTCAGCCTTGCCAATCAGTGAGCTCCAGGGTCAGTGAGAAACTGTGTCTCAAAAAGTCAAAAAGTCAAGTGGACCGCAATGGAGAAAGGCATCCATCATCGATCTCTGGTTTTCACAGGTATGCATACACACCACCACCACCACCACCACCACCACCATCACACATACAGAAATCTGAATATGAAGGACTATAATAGCTAGCATGCTAAAATATGAAGTTGTTTCAGCATATTACAAGTTGAGGATTCTTGGTTCTAGTCACAGCAGACAGGGGATAAAAGGAATCTATAAAATATTTTTAGTTTCTAGCTGGTCAACGTATCATGGGGAAGAAGACATGAAGACATGAAGATATTTTCACTGCAAATAACAACATGAGTGTAGAACTGATTATGATCTATAACATGAATTATCAACTAAACAACAACAACAAAACTTCAAGAAGCTAAAGCAGAAGGATCAAGAATTCAATACCATCCTATATATATAATGTAGAGTTTTTTGCTTTCCTCTTTACCAAAAGTACTATGCGGGCAAAAATATCTGGAAATAAATGTCCCAAATGTAGGGTCTCTTAAATGAGTAATTTGTACAGTTTACCTAGTCTCCAGTATTTTACTTAAGATGATAAGTGAAATATTAGCCAGACAAGTACAAAAATGGCACTCTCCCTAGTCTGGAATATAGAAGACCTCATTTTTAATCCTAATCTCATCACTGACTGGCCGTGTGAGCCAGGGTGCAGGGTACTGTGTAAAACTGCATTGATGATAATATGTGTTTCTCTCTGGGCCTCTATTTCACCCATAAAAGCAAGAGATAGGGGACTGTAATACACTTCAATGATAGATTGCTAGCTTAGCATGTGCAAGGCCCTGGGTTGGGTCGATGACTCTGGAAAAAAATTAAAGCCTTAGCTTTTAGTAAGGGGACCAGGACATGGCCGTAAGGGCTTTTCAGTTCTCATACTGTGGAATTCAAGGACTCCCATGCCCTTTAACTCATTTCTTTTTCTAGGGTGCAGTGGCGCTCATCTGTAACCTCACTGCAGATAAAAATGCAATGGCAACTGGGGGTAATGGAAATGGACAGGGACAGACCCTAACATCTGTTTTTGACTGTTAATGTACACTCTACCAGAAAACCTAGCCCCAGGCTTTAGAAGATTCACAGAATGGCATGGTTTCCTGAGCCTTATGACCCCAGAGTTCTTCATTTCCATCAAAAGCAAAGCTTGCTATGGCTTTGAATAAAAGGTTAGGTATACTATTGTCAAGAGAGATCTGGTGGCATGATTAGGTTGAAATTAAACCATTAGAGACTCTTCAAAAAACCTGAGTCAGGCCATGTCATGAGATACACACTGCTATATCAAGTCCCTGTCATCACTATGAGATGCTGGGAATGGAAAGGGTTTAATTACATTGTCAAATCCACTCTACCTGCCAGAGTAAGAGAACGTGGGCTAAAAACTGATTTGGAAAATAACAATCACTGTTTTGTAACCTAAAGGCTTAATTAGAAGTTAGGGAATTACTGTTCCTTCCATGTGCCCCGCTCGCAGACAGTGTAAGCATACTGAGCACCAACTGTGATGAATTTCAATGTGTGCTGTTTCTTGAAGCAATATCCTGCCAGGCTGGCCTAGAAGATAACAAAATCTCAAATCTTATTATTTAGGAGAACAGGAACAGATTTTGGGGACATTCCCACTCCTTTGAAAGCTGCAAAGACCAATTGGAAAATCTAAAACAGCAGCCAAGGGCAGAAAAGAATTTAATCTCCACCCCGCCTTGGGTGTTTCTCTTTCCAGTAGAAGTGGCATGCATACAGAGGCCCACCTGGAAAAAAACAACAACATGGTACAGAGATAATGAGAGCTAGTCAGAGGGCAAAGAACACTTATTCTATCCATCAGTGTCTTTACATATGAAAATGCTGTCTGCCTTTAGAAAAAGCTACAAGAGTTCTTTAATTTCTCACATAATTAATTCCTGCCAGCTGGTATGCAAAACAAAGACAAGATGGGGAACAGTATTATCATGATAGATAATTCTATATTAACATTTTCCCCTTAACACAATCCAATTTATATAGTTTTCAAGTTAGGCAAATGATGCAGGACCAAGAGGCTCCTAAATATTAATGTGACAACTCTTTTCTGAAACTTACCACAAATTGTTATCTCTTTGGCAGCAAAGGTTCTTACGTGAGTGAAATTCGGCATTTGCTTCAAGACTCTCCTGGCTTCAAACAGCACTTCTAAGACATAATGAGCATGAAGAATCTGTGAGGGGAAAGTAGAGGAAATAGAGATAATGAACCAGGGAGAAAGACATGAGCGTGTCAAAAACTATAAAAAAAATGAAGCATATGAGCACATTTTAGGTTGCTGTATTTCTGAATAATCATTAAATTATTCTCAAATAGGTTATTCTAACATAGTATCTAGTACATAAAAAGCCCTTAGAAGATATCTGTAATTGAATTAACGAATGGTTCCTAAAATTATTTACAGTCTCATGTTCTATTTTGACATTATTAATTTGCTTAAAATACTTCTGATTATTCTTGGCCCTTAGATATCAAGAGGAGTGATGGGAAAGTGGGGTCAGGGAGGCCAACTGCCTAAAGAAAATGTTCAGATAAAAGAATTACAATAAGAATCATCTAAAATGGGGAGGAAAAAAGGAAACAAAACAAGGAATGAAAAGAAAAGAGTTATACCTCTTCATTTTTTGAAACACTGCCACTTGCCATTGAAAAGTGGGTGGGAGGGTGGGACTGGGAGGGAATGAGAGAGGGGGCTGCAGCTGGGATACAAAGTAAATAAACTGTAATTAATATCAAAAATAAAAATTTAATTAAAAAATAACTCTTACAACTCAATAATGAAAAGACAATTGATTTTAAAGCGAACAAAGGCTCTGCATAGCTATTTCTCCAAAGAAGGTATACAAATGGAAAGTAGATAAAAAGACACAGAATATTATTAACTCGAGAACTGTCAGTCAAAATTAGATTTAGACATCACTTCACACATATTAGGAGAGCAGTCATCAAAATAAAATAATAAATATCAATCAGAGGAATAAGTAGAACCCTTGTACATAACTGGTAGAAATGTAAAAGTGTTCAGCCTTGTAGAAGAACTTAAGCCAGTTACTCAAAAAATTAGATATAAAGTTACCTATATGATGGCACAATTCATCTCCTAGCCACATATATACCCAAGTAAATGAGGACATATCCATAAATAATGTGTATGTGAATTCTCATAGCAGCATTATTTATAGTAGCCAAAGGTATAAAATTTTCAAATATCCATGTGCTGATAAATCAGTAAACAAATGTGTGGTATACAATGAAATATTATGCAGCCATAAAAGAAATGATGTATTGATACATGCTCCAAAATAGACAAATATTAGAAACACTGTTTAGTGAAAGAAGCCAAATACAAAAAGCCAATATAATACATCTTCATGTATATGAAATATCTGGAATAGGCAAATAAACAGAGACTGAAAACAGAACATTAGCTGTTTAGGGTAAGGGAAAAAAATAATACTTTGATGGGGATGATAAAAATGTTCTACAATTAGATAGTGTTAATAATTATACAACCTGTGACTACATGAAAATCATCGAACCATATATATTTTAAATGATGGATTTTAAAGTTTGTAAAGTATTTTTAGAAAGTGAAAAGGGAGATGCTCTATGCCTACAAATTAAAAGAAAGTTACTGTGCCCCTGAGAAAATATCTATTCACTAGGTTAAAAAAAA